GTCACGGTTCCTATCTTTGGCAACATTGAAGAATAGGCTTTTGATGTAACGCGTGCGTGCTTGGCCAAAGCAACGAAGGATCGCATTTCCATCAGTGGCCGCTTTTCCAACACCCTGAAAGCTTACCAACCGCTGAGGTTTTCCTCGGATACGATGCGATCGATCACTATTTCTTCCCCTTCTTCGGTTTTTTTCTTATTCAATTCGTCATTTTTGTTTGCTATCGTGTTAAGACTTTCGATATGTTTGTTATCGGAAATTTCAAGAGAAATTTCAATATATTTCATAAATTATATGCATATATATATTCGTATCGAAAAATTTATTATTATATTTGTACGCAATTAAGATAAATAAATAATTAACATTTAGTCTTTTTCATTTTTATTATAAAATTTTGTATGAGAATATGTTTAAAAGTAAATACATTTAATCAATTACACGATCGTCTTCATTTTTAATGATATTTTGTTAATTTTTTTTTTTTTATATACAAGTATATTTTCCGGTACTTTTAATAAATGATATTAAATTTGTAATGAAGAATATTTTTTCTTTATCATTGTCGTCGTATGTTTGACCTTTTCATTATCACCAATCTAAGTTGGTTTTCTTATTAAATTAATGATAATAGACAGGCAGTGTTTATGTAATTGTAGATTTAAGCTCGGTGATGTAAAGTTGATATAACGTGGTGAACCAGTCGAAATGAATTCTGCGAGTAAGCAAAAGCGTAATTGAAGAGTGGTTAGGCGTGAGAGAGTAGAGAAAGTTTAAGGAAACTCTGTAAAATCTGAAAGGGAACACCATATAGAAGTTTAACGATCTATGTTCTGAAGCGAAAGTAATTCTATAGTTTATACATTTATATATATATGTATATTTATAAACAACGAACTAGATAAAGTAAAATGGATCGCGTTTCGCTTTATGAAAAGCTTTAATGGGGGTTCTCTCGGAAACGCAAAATAATCGACCGTGAAACCAAACCACCGCACGATGTAATGTTTTATTTTAATTATTACCATATCTTAATGGAAGCGCGGTTGTGTTTTTTTTATTTCCTTTTATTTTTTCTTTTATTTCATAACAAATAAACGGCTGAAATATTGGATCGATTGTTCGTTCGTACAAAAGCTCAACGAGGCTCGAATTTAATTTGATATGGAATTTTTTTAATTCCATTTATTTTTTTAATAACGTTAGAGCGTACGAAAACGTATGATGATTGATATTGTGCGAGTTAATTAATTTGTAATAAAATAGTTGAAATTTAAATCTCCCCGGTCCTATGAATACGATAGAAAGTAATTAGAAAATATAAAATCGCGATCTATTTCGTTTTAACGATTGAAAATAAAAATTCGCAATACGTTTCCAAGTTCGTTCGATATGAAGGCATCAAATTTCCAACGATGCTTGTTTTGCGATATATGTATATGTATATATATATATGTACTTTGCTATAATATTCAACTCGATAAGCGGAATATCGAGACTGCTGTCAAATTTCACCGACAGAAATGAACTGCAATGTTACACGAAACTTCAATTCTACGACGATGTACAAATATTTTCTTTATTCATTAGTTAATCCTACTTTATTTGTTTATTAAAGATAAACAATGAATTTTTGTAATATTATATCTGTAAGATTAATCATAAAATTGTGTGTCAATGATATTAAATTGATATAATAATAAAAAATATACCATAATGGGATTTACGTATGTAATCAGTTTAAAATAGAGATAGAGATTATTTTGGTTAGATTCATTCGCGAAATCGAATTTTCAGATTGCCAGAAGAGATAGATGGCTTTGGAGGATCCATGACAACGGTGCGTAGCTTAGCTCTCCATTCAACGCGAGATTAGTTTTCGTGCACTCGTTTTCTGCCTCCAGGGAATCTTCCCGATGCTTCCAGAGAATTTCACGAGCGCGGAATATCGAAAAAGCAGATGTAAAGTTGGATCGGATCCGGAGATGAGAGAACGCATTCGCGTGCGCCGAGTATGAAATGAATTTCCTTCGAAACTGCATTTTTACATTTAAATCTCACGAATAATTTATCTTTAATCATTACCGTTTAGGGTTAATCAAAGCTTACGCATATAGATATAACTTTTTTTTAAATAAATTTTACATTATCTTATTATAATTATATGAAGACATTGAATTTTTTTTTAACAAAAAAGTGACACAATATTATTATTTTAATTTCTGATTCTAATTCATGTATAATGAAATATAATTTTTATGAAAAAATTTATTTTGTTATTAGAAGAAAAATTCTTATTAATTATTGGTTTATCAATAGAATATTTTTTTTTCTGTTTATGTGTTATCATTTGATGAGACATATTGACATTGAGAGGGAAGAGTATAAGAGAGGGTCTTTATTACTGAAGAACTTCTCCTTGGAATTGTCGAGCGTGTATATATTTTTCTTTATCCCTTTTTATTCGTTTTGTTTCTTTCCCCTTAAACGTTGAACATTCGAAGGGATAACGAGAAACGTTCTCATCGGTCCAGTCGTGTATATAGATCCGGTTGATCGTTATGACGATTGTCACTGCCTTATACTTGCTCGTCTTTGCGTCACGTTTCTGTCAGTTATTTCCTTTTTCTTTCTATGTTCTTGTTAACCGGTTGTATATATAAATATATATCCGGTAAATTGTAATAACAAGATCGTCTAGTATCGCGTGTGCGTCATATAACTACCCTCTTTCATTTTGAGATTTGTTTTTTTTTATTTTTATTTTTTATCGTATAAAATGCACAAAAGTAAGCTTGAAAAATTGGCAACCGGCCGGTCATATTTGCATTTATCACTATTTCAAAATTGTATAACGTTAATAGGAACAAAAGGCAACGATCGTAGGAAATATTTTAACGTAAGTTACTGCATGGCAATTTTTACGAGTCCTTTTACGTCTTCATTTACAATTTTCCATTCTGATGTAGATTTGTTATTTAATATGGAAATTTATGTTTAACTATTTACGCATACATTGCGCACTATCTTCAAATCTTATTAGAAACTTCGTTAACAATTTTGTATTACCTTACTCTACGACGAAGGAATAATTTCTATACATTTTGTAGACGAATGTAGGGAAATTTGGTTGGTCCAGTATATACGTTGGAAATTCGTGAGAACAATCGAAGCGTGTAATCTTTCACAGCTTTTGGTCATGAATATAACGCACTTGAGTTAGGAGAATGCTTTGTTTGATTTACGACTTTCGCACTCGAAGACACGTAAGCAACTTTTGTTCATCGAAGCAGGTCAGTGTTGCGAAACTTAACCTAAAGTAAGATCCTAAGTTTAGCTGTGCTTTCTGCCTTCTACAATTCCCACTGCAACAAGTTTCCATTTGCTTTAATCATCTTATGTGGGCACCTAACGTTCCGTAATATCACCGAAAACTTTCTCACCGACACTATAATCTGTTATTACATTATTAACTTATATTTTGTTCAGTTAATAGCTTTTTATAGTTACTTTTTAATCGCTTACTACAAAAATAATGAATACAATTAATTATTAATTGTAATTTATGCAATGAGAGATGCGATACAATTATCATATGCAAATCTTTCTTCACAATTTAAGAGTTAATATAAAATAATGAATTATATGTAAGATATATATTTTAAGATCAATCCTGATTGATCGAAACGAGAGACCGGAAACAATTTGGACCGCAAATGATCCAACAGTCGTCTCGAAATAGGTAACAATACCATTGAATCAAGAAAAGAAAGTACTTACGGATGATTGAACGAGTCGATGAATTAATCTAAATCGAGTTTCTTTCGATCGTTTGAATCGTGAAGCAATTTGCAGGACAAAGGATTGCTGTCTGTATCGAAATGTGTCCTTATTCATTGCATTATACAAATTTGCAATAGGAATGAAAAGGGGATTGCGATCAACGATCGACGCGAGTAACAAATAATAGAACGTAATTTACAGTTTTTGCGTGACGGCGAATTACTTGCCACGCGTAGTTTGCGTCGAACATCATCATCATCATCATCATCATCATCATCATTATCATCATCATCATTATCATCGTCATAATCATCTTCATGATGGTCGTAGTAGTCGTCATAGTCATCATCATCATCATCATCATCTTCAGAATCGACGATGAAGACAACGAAGACGCGGATGTGGAGAACGGTGGCAACGATGCGATCGCGTCGTCATCGTTAATCAGAGATGTTGGAAATTGCGAGCGCGGCAAATCGCGGTTGAAGCGTAATTTCAGCTATCTGTATAAATCACAGTCGCAATAATTTACCGTAATTACTATCAATCATTGGTTGTTTCGACATTCTAACCGATGTATCTAAGTATGTACCTACGTTCGAACCTTCGAACATTTTTTATACAACTCCTCCTCTCTTGCCTCTCACCCCTCGCCCCTCGCCCCTCGTCCCTACCATCACTTTCAAACTTCATTCGATTACATTTGTATTTTATTTCTTTTTATTTTACATGGCTATCCTCGCACACGGTAGTTTCAATTTTTTTATTTATATCATCATTCTATACCAATGCACCTAAATAACGTTCCTACGTTCGACCTTTGAATAATTTTTATATCCCTCACCTTTAAACTTCATACGATTTCATTTGCATTTTATTCGTTTTATTTTACAGCCCAGTAGTTTCAATTTTTTATTTATATTTTTATCTAGTTTCTCTCGATGGCAGATATTATTTATGTGCCATGCGTGATTTTTCTTTTATTGATATTTGTATATATACATATATACGTATTCATTGTTCTCTGTAATGTTTACTTTTAAACTTCAGTCGTCTGACTTATTTCTTCTTTGTTTAGTCTATCGTGATCGGCCAAACTTTGAACATGACGTCAACAGTAATAGCTGATTAATATAACCAACGATTTCCAAATCGTCGTTGCCATCCAAAAAGAAGGATGACAAAGAGAACAGAGCAGAGGATTAAAAAACTGCGGTTTATTCTAGAATTATCATGTAAATCAGGTAATAACATAATGTTTTTTAATGTAGACTATTCCAACAGGATTTTATCAAAAACGTTACTTGTTTCCGGCTTATTTTTACATGTAAAATCACTTCCAGTACAGTTATTCCCATAATGCATGTACTGAAATAGTTAAAAGTTTTGTTAAAGTAAGATTAATCGAACGAAACGAAAGATTTTCGTTTATTTAAGAATATTTTTCTTATTTTCCTATTAGGAATGTTTTGTGTAGGATTAATATTACTGAAAATGAAAATTTAGAGGCTGTTTGTAATAATAAGCGATGTACGAGTGTCTAACAAAATACAAATGTACAAGGAGATTTGGATATTAGGGGATGGGGGCAGGTCGTACGGGGGTGAAGGAGGACGCGAATCATGTGTGCAGGTTGCAATGTGTTCGATGCGTTATGGTTACAGCGCAGGAGGACGTTGTTATCTCCTATCGGTTACTGTCGTTATTGAGAGCTACGATAATCCCCCGAAGCGCGATGTGCTATTCGAAACGTAAATACATTTTGTTATATTCATTCCGTAGTGCGAAAATTAATAGACCGTGTACGAAAATAAATCCGCCTGCCAGATACGTTTACCGTCGGTTAATCGATTTTATATTAATTACAATTAAATGTATATTTTCTTCATACGATATTACGCCATTTATTTGCCGAATAAAAGACGACATTTGAATATACCGTTAAATAATTACATACATTTTCATTTCATTTCAAACACACACGATAATGCAATAATTCGCGTATACGCGTAACGTTGGAAAAGGAAAGACCTTATATATATATATATATATATATATATATTATATTTAATGGTTTAGTTAGGTGTGCCATTTGTTTGTTCTTTTTTCGTTTTTTCATTGTTTTCTAACATAATTGAAATCGAAGCGAGAAAAGAGAAGAAATTCGTTTAGATCCGAGTGTGTCGAGTGTTCTTACTTTTTTACGGTCGTAAAAAAAAAAAAGCTCGTCCAAAGTATTTTGTTGGTCGGGTGGGAAGATCGAGGGTTGGGGTACGTAAGGATTTTTTCAGGTAGAAAATTACAGCGAGAGCTTAAGAGAAGCTCTCGAAATAAAACATTAATTCGGTGGATCGATGCGTTCTTTACGGTCCGTAAACCGTCGAAAGAGAGTAAAGAGGGTTGAGGGTGGATTTTCGGAGTAGACTGCAAAACGGGAAGTAGGATGAAAAGGTACGTGCGTCGAACCAACTTGGAAATATTACCGGGCTTGGATGCGCTAAGGATTATGTGCCCTCCCAATTAAAGTCCCGGAAATAATAAAAAGGAAACTGAAGCCTAAATTATTCGCGTTTTGTTTTCATCGTGGTCTAACCGAAATTACTTGCCGATGAGCATCGCAAAAATGAAAAAGAACAAAAATTCCAAAGTACCGAATCGTTTTCTTCTCCATCGGTGAAGAAAAAAAACAAGTTTCAAACACTTTTTACTACAACCGAAACATTAAATTCGAGCATATTTTTTATTTCTTCCTTACGATTTTCTTAATAAGTTTGGAACACAATTGGAAAGATAAAATTGATCTTAAATCGTCAAAATTTGACGAATTTTCTTTCGGATAAAACGTTGCATCTATGATTAAAAAAGATCGGGATGATAAAAAGTGCGAGGGAGAAGATGACATAATCCAATTCACGTGCAACTGAAGAATCACAAACGCGTTAAATTATCGTCGTTAGACTGGTTAAGTCGAGGCGAGTTCGATGCGAACGGACAAAAGTTAAAATCCGATTCGTCTCGTCGGTAAAACTCGACGAAACGGATTAGCAATGAAGCGTTACGTGGCGTCGCGACGCTGCCCGGCATTACCTTAGTCGTAAAGCGGGAGGAAAGCTTTGAGTAAAGAGAGTGAAAAAAAAAACAGAGAGAAAGGGAATGTAAAAAGAGAAAAAGGGCAAGAGGGGAGGGGGGGAGAGAGAGAGAAGAGGGTGGTCGAGGGTGTCCTTTTTTGGGACTTTAAGCACCATAAACCAAGGTGATGTAGTGTCGTAGACACCATTGACAAAGATACGACGCCCATGGGGCTGGGAAAGCTATAAGCGAGTGCTCAGCCGCAGGCTCTCTCCTCGAATTCTCTCTCTCTTTCTCTCTCTCTCTCTCTCTTTTTCTCTCTCTTGTTCACCCTTTCGTCGCAATTTCCAGTGAACGTTCGAAGGAGCAAGCCTCCTCTGGGGTCCTTCGATCCTTAACCTCACGCCTGAAAGAGTCGTCGAACGATAGAGATCTTTGGAACACAACCCGCTTGCTTCCCTCGTTATCCCTTGCGAATAACACCTAGGAAATCCTTCGTGACATAGAGCACACGATTCTAAAGACTATGGATACTAGGAAGCTCAGAGTATATTTCTCACTCTCTTTCTCTTTCTTTCTTTCTTTCTCTCTTTCTTTATATTCTTTCTTTCATTCTATCTTTCACACATACACATATTGCATTTACTGGCGATATCTTCCAATTTATATTCGGTCACTGTGAGAATGTTATCGACTATCGAAATTACGTATCTCATTTTGTCGCGTACTATCCTGGAAGTATTCCAACTGAAAACCGAAACTTACATCTTCTACTAATCCCTTGATCTAACATGCGTTATAATTCTTCGATAGAGCCGAGCTTATCTCTGTACAGTTGTATAAATGTTAATCTTCGCAGAGTCCTCCTTTCAATAAATAATTCGTACTTTTTTTCTTTCCAAAAATGAAATATGTAAAATATAAAATAATATATATAGATAAATATTTAAGTGGATACAGTTAATCGAATAAAATAATAATAGTATTCATAATAGAGAAATCGTACAATTCTTTCTAATTAATATTCGTATGCTTATTATAGAAACACGGGACGAGGGATACATTTAAATGACTACATTTTATAATGTTTCCAATTAAAAATTATATAATTAAATCGATATTTTATTTTATGCTATGTTTTTTTTTCTTTTACAAACAAACAAAAATACAACGAAAAAACAGCAATCCGAATTCAGAATTGTTGTGTTGATAAAAGTTAAAAACAGAGGGATACGTCGAAGATTTTCGAGAACGATGTGCATTAAGGATCGAAGGAGACGCGAGTGGAGTGTACATTAGGGAGTGATTGAGAGGGAAACGCGAGTATAAGGAGAGGGGTTTCCACAGGAATAAAACAGTATGAGACGAAGGGATAGCGTTCATTGACACACAAGTATAGGACGCGTGCCGGTAGTCTCCTTCATCGTTTGGAGTTCTTAGCGGAGTGCTCGCTACGCAAAGGGGTTGAAAAAAGGGGGGCAGAGAGAAACAGAGAGAGAGGGGGAACCAAAGAGCGTATACAAGCGTGTAAAGAGAAACTGCAAGTTCGCGGTTGGAAGAGAAAGGTGGAGGAAATGTTATGGTGGTGCGAGAGGGTTGGGGGAGGGGAGCTTTAGACAAAGTCACGTAGCAAAGCCAAATTTTCTGCGTTCTTGACTCCAGAGTTCGATAATCTTCGTGACACTTTGTGCGCTTTCCACTTTTTTAAGCCGACCTTAAGATCTTTGAGAAGGAAGCTTGGACTCTTTTGATGTCAACGGTCACGGTTTAATGTCGTTTCGAACGCGGCTGCTCTTTTTCTTCTTCTTCTTCTTCTTTTATCCTTTACTTTTTCCTTCAACTCGGTTGTTCTATCTTTATCTGCACATTGCAAGCTCTATCCGTTTATCTGTTTATGTCTCCCTCTCTCTCTCTCTCTCTCCCTTTCTGTCTTTTTCTTTCCCTTTCTATTTTCTTGCTTTTTTTTTCTTTCGTATTCTTGTTCTTAGCTCGATGTTCAAAGTAGTGTAAGAGTAGGAGGATAAGCGAGCGTAAATACATATTAGGTTAAAGCTTTTGAGGCTTGCACTCACTCACTCACTTTTTCTCTCTCTCTCTCTCTCTCTCTCTTTTATTCTTTATTTCTGTCTTTCTTTATTTTCTTTCCAGTGGCGTTATATACGTCGGCGTAGTATATACCCAGATAAAGCATAAAGGAACGAACATAACGAGATTCAAAGTACGTAACGTGAGACGATATGCGTGATAATGTGTGTGTATGTGTAAAAGTAAGTATACGTGTATTATGCATATACGTTTACACGAATAGAAAATTTCTCGCGACATTCTAGGTCAATTCATTTTCACGAAACTAATTCTAAATGATTCACCTTAATTTATCTTTGAAATTTGTAATATTCTTAAAGATTCGATTACCTGTATACGAGATACTTTTTTACCATCTATTTTTAAGACACGATAACATAAGAAATCGTGCGTCAATCGTGGACAAATTCTTTTGAATAATATCATCGCGATGTGAAATATCGTAATTCTTCGTCGAGACTCCGTAAATTCTCAATTAGAGTTCAATTAAATGAGAGAGGGGTAAAAAAAAACAAAGAAAAAGAAAAAAGTATAAAAGAAGTTGAAACCGAGACGCAATTTGTCGTTTAAGTGATGAAGTTCCGACAATTTCATTCGTTCTCTTTCCACCATTTCGATCCTCGTCTCCATTTTCTCGTTTTCCTCGTCGAGGAGTAATCAAGCAAAATATAGAATGTTTAATCGCTCTAGTTGACGAACGCGTACGGAGTGGTAAGGGGTAGTCGGGCTCGTTGCAATCAAGGTTAGAGACGTCACGTTGGATTAAAGGATGCGACACGAGACAAAGGGTGTAGGACTGAAGGTTACGAACATGAGAGAGACAGGAAAAGGGAGTATGAGAGAGAGAGAGAGAGAGAAGAAAGGATTTTAATCCCTACGCAGGATTTCGACGGGTTTAAAGTGTCCAAGGACATGGGACCAACGAAAAGCTCACCTGGTGGCAACAATTTCAACGCTATGGCAAGCTTATACGATTAACTTGTTCCAGACTTTGTAAGTTCACGGCTATATAATGATAATAATAATCGTCTATGGTTTCTCTCTCTCTCTCTCTTATGATTTTAAAATAAATATTATATTACATTTTCTTTACGAATCATTATCGCGCAAATAAATTTATTAGTTTAATTTTTAGTTTAATTCATGCGTGTCAAACAAGCGAGATGTTCTAGTATATTTTTGATGAAATATGAATGACTATAATTGATTTTAAAATGAATATTTACGCTTGTTTATTTACTTCGTGTCGAAAGAATAATTTTTGTTCATTTTGTTTTTTTTTCTTATTATATTATTTTCTTTTCTTTAGTTATACAACATCGGAGATGTATTTAATTGTAAGATGATAAAAACGTTCGTTGATCGTTCGAATGAAAATCTTTGAGAGCCAAAGGCAGCGAACGAGCGACGATCTTTTATCGTATACATCAAGAACGAGAGATGATGAAACGAAGAAGGAGAAAAGCCAAAGAGAAAGGAACATTTACCACGGGTACGAGCACTCGGATGGAAAAATCGAAACATTAGAGGTGAACTTTTTTCACGAGTTTTCTCATTACTACCGCCATGTTTTTTGCTTCACGCGTTTCTCTTCTTTTTTTTATCTTCTCATCCTTCGACGTACTTTCAAGTTCTGCAAAGCGAACAAAAGAAATCGACCGACTTCTTCTGCTTCTGCTGCTTCTTCTTTTTCTTTTTCTTCTTCTTCTACTTCTTGATTCATTTGCATGAGCTTTGGTAGACAGCAGCGGTCTTTCTTCGAACTTAGGGGTGAAAGATAAGAAAGAAAAAAGAAAGAGAAGAAGAAAATAGAAAGGAAAGAAAGTAAAAAAAAAAAAGAAAAAAAAAGAAAAAGAGGAAAGTAAGTTGAAAGTACGACGACCGAGTTTCATTACTTACTAGTCAGAAGGACGTACAACCATACAATATTCGAGATGTTGTTCTGAAAAGGATATCGCGTGACTTTTCACACGAAATTTCTCTCCCCTTTCTTTTTTCCCTTTCCCTTTTCCATTCTTTCCTTATCTTATCTTATTATCTTCTATCTCTTGGATGTTTGCTCGTTGTTTGTAGTTTTTTTTACTCTCTTCTTTTATCTTTTCTTTTTCTCTTTTTCCATTAACAAGATTCTCTTCGTTATTGGGGAAACGAAAGACATCCGTGAGAATCTTTACGAGTGTACTAAGAACGTTAAAGCGATTCAAGCTTTGCTCGTATTCGGGATAAAAAAAAAGAAAAAAAAAGGAAAATAGAAGAAGCTTTCGATTTCTGTCCGCAGCACATGTTAGCACACGTACGTTCAAGGTATGTTTCTAGGTGATTGCGAAATAGTCTCTATGTTTGTTACATCTAGTTGTTTCAGTTTGTTACTTCTATATCTTTATTTTTTCGCTTTCTATAATACTCTCTTTCTCTTTCTATTTTGTTCTCCAGTTTTCTCCTCTTCGCAGGTCGTTAACTCCAAAGTTCAAGCAAACTGGTGCACGATACCTTTTAAAGTAACCATTTGTATGTTCAGCGACGAATAGAAAAAAGTGAGTAAAAATATATCACTAGTGGTTATTAGTGCAATTTTATGCATAAGTTTTTTATTTTTCTTATTTTTTTCGTCGCTAAAAATCATAAATTTTTATTCTAACAATGGGTAGAAAAAAGAGGGTGGAAGAACAAAAAAATAACTTAAAGAGCTTTCATCGCGCGCGCGGTTTTTATGTTGAATTAAATATTTTTCTCTTAATCTTCTTTCTTTTCGTTTTGGCATCGTAAGGAAATGCGTAGAAAAACAATGCGATCTTATGCGAAAAAAAAAACAAATATATTTCTCTTGATTATTTTCTTCTCCAAATTATATGATTTTGAGATAATAAATACGTGCGTTGCTCTATCTTTCTTTCTCAAAGAAAAAATAAAAAGAACTCCCAAAAAGAGAAAAAAGTAAAATAGAAACGAATATTTCTACGACTAGACGAGACACAAAAATCGTACAATAAAAGTTTACATACTTTTCGTTTTGGACATTGCAATTAATTGAAGCTGTCGCCACGTGAAATAATTACGAAACTCTACTGGTACCTTGCTTGATGGGACGGAGAAAGATAGAGAGATTCACAGAGAAAATAAGAGAGAGAGAGAAGAACTCGACGACACTCAGGTACACGAAAAGTACCCTCGACGAGGGAAAACTCGACGATGACGACCACGACGGCCTCGTGACCCTGAGTCGTGGACGGGTCAACTAGCTATCCGGTACTTGTGCGAATTTACTTCGTTCCTTTACTCTTCTACGTTATGTCGCGTCAAGTTGTATCGTTTGTTTTTTCCTTCCTTCCGTGTCCGAAGTGACAATTTCTGGATTTTTCTATTCTTCGATAATTTTTCAAAGATTAACCCTTTCTAATAAGTTAGTTTCAATTGCAATTGGGAACAATGATATATTACAAATTGATACAAATCATTTGCAAATATTATTAAATATGTCATTTTTAATTGACCTTTATAAATAAATATTTCGAAATCGTTGATATGATATATGTTTGAAAATCAATTAAAAAGAAAAGAAACAAAATTCAAATAAATGTATTTATGTAACAGTGTAAATATAAGATAAGGATGTGATTATACTATTAAGTAGATTAATGACACATAATATATTTGTATAAAATGTTTCGTGATAGGAGTTTCTCTTATATGACGAATATTTTGATTCTTCCCTTCTTTCGGCTCATTCGTATTGATTTACCGCGGCAATTCCATGACGTTCTTTCATCGTACTCGTTACATTTCAACGCGCACCCAGGCTATTCGAGGTAATCTCGTGATTTTGTAATTGTTCCTCGTTCACGGAAGTAAAACGTTCAGTGGCATTTATGTACAGTTGCCGAGCGGATCCAGGGAAGTTGGCCACAAGCATCTTTGTGCGAACAATTGAAACAATTGTACGAGCGTATAGTGACTCTAATGAATGTCGGCAATAGGAAACACGATGAGGCGGAGAGAGAGAAAGAGAGAGGGAGGGTGGGAGTGGGAGAGGGTGGGAGGGAGAGAGAGAGGGAGAGAGGACCAAGTAAAGATACCTCTGAAAAGGGAGAAAAGAGAAAAGAGATAGCTTTAAGCGAAAAACGTCCGACTTGTAATTCGAACGGGCTTACCGCTCTTATTATTAGGAATTTTATCATTATTATTGCCGTACCTTCCGCTATCATTATCCTATTCTTAATAGGATAAAATCCAGGAGAAAACGTAACGGCATTTATGGCCGGGTTGCTTTCTATTGTAATGCGAAAAACTTTTCGCTACTGGTTTCCTCAGTATCTTTTTGTGAATTTTTATCACGAATTTACATAATTACGTTTTCTCTCTTGGGTTTCTTTTAACCTGTCCTCTTTTCTTCATTCCTCCTTTTTTTTTCTTTTTCTTTTTCTTCTTCTTTTTCTTTTTGTTTTATATTTTATTTTCTTTCCAGATTTATCAACGCGAATAAATATCGTCCCGCGTGACCCACTTTATACAATTGTTTCTATTTTGTTTATAGTCTAATTGTCGATAAATTAATAGAAAGAAATCGAATTAGGATAGACGAGGGGTTAAATATTTATGAGATTTATGGTTGGAACGTCACCACCGATGGTTGCTGAGTAATTTTCCGTCATGGATATATAACGCGTAACAGGTGGCACGAAAAAAGTAGTATCGGATTTCATACGAAAAAAATCTCATTCGGTTATATTAGAAAAGTTGTTTTCTGAATTAAAGGAAGAAATTCGATCGACCTATGTCCAACTAACGTGGATCGCAAAGTCACTGACTATTTTACTCGCGTATTCGTGTTTTCGCGTGAAGAATTTTCTCATTTCCCCTTCGTGATCCTTTCTTTTAACGTTGTCGTCAAAGAGACGACAGGAGAATTTGTTTACTTAATTAAAAGACTGACGACGAGGAAGAAGATAACGACTTCATTTTGCCGGAGGATAGGCAAGAGAATTTCTCTCTCGAATATCAAAAACAAAAATTACCTACAATAACACAAAAATTTCTAGTTTCCCAGATATATATATATATACTAATAAAACATATATATATATATATATTTTTTTTTGTCTACACTCTACCTCTCAACGTTCGCCGATAATTAAGTTAATATACACGGGAAATGCGGTAGCATCGTATTTAAAAAGAAAAGCATTCGTTCTCGTTCTAATTAGCTCATTACTACAGATTAAAAACACGAACTTCTCATAATATTAATTACTTCCGCATGTTTGACTTCATTGACGTCGGGGGGTTTTAATGAGAAGACGAAAAATACGGATTTGGAATTTTTTTTTCTGCTTGGATAAAGACACCTGTCAGACGTTTTGCGGAGAGAAATTTGATGACATTCACGGGAGAAGAGGTGCATACGCAAATGTGAGATAGAGTATTCGTCAACGAGGAGAGAAAGAATGACGAGACAAAAAAAAGAGAATTATAGATAGAAAGAATGAGAATGAGAGAGAGAGATAGAGAGAGAGAGAGAGAGAGAGAGAGAGAGAGAGAGAGAGAGAGAGAGAATGAATAGACAAAAGTTTTATACACACATTTTTTATTTATTTCTTTTGATTTGATATTTCTTTTTCCTTTTTTTTGTCACGTTAGAATGAATATCACAGAATATCGCTTATCAAAAAAGTATACTATCGATTTCGTCAAGAATATATACCATGATAGATACACAAGTATTGTCTCTTTATTCACGGTATATTGCATTTGTTGATAAAATGTATAGAACGAATCGCTATCGGTTGTACAAACTATACCGAAATATGGACCCGATAAGAAACGAATGAGTTTGGCTTACTTCTGTTTCGATCTCTTCTTCCTCTCGTTTTTGTTTTTGCATTTTTATTTTAAATCCAAAAACACACACGTGTTACTAAAGATAAAAGTTTAATAACTAAAGCATATCCGCGATCCTTGTTTTTTTGGCGCAGTTCGTAGCAGCATACGAGAGAGAAATGGTTTTTTTTCTCCTTTTTCTCCCCTTTTTTCTTTTTTTTTTCCTTTTTTATTTATTCACGTGAATGTAATAGAAACGTTTGAAACGATGGAATCTATTGATTCGCAATTCCATAAAGCTTTTGATCTTTCGACAAAGCAAAGAGGAATATTCCGCTAATGCATCTTTCAGATTCAACACATACAACTGAAGTTTGTTGCTCGTGTAAATGATGTGTAAGACAGTGGGGGAAAAAGAAAGAGAGGACTGTTCTCGTTTTAAAGGTATCGACATACAACGCGTTTGTTTTTCCAAGACAGGATTTCTCTATAAGCTTTGGGAATATCATAGAAGCACGGAAAAGAAGAAGAAGAAGAAGAAGAAGAAAAAGAAGAAGAAGAATCAAGAAGAAGTAGAAATAAGTTGGAGTATACATGTGCCGTGGCAGAAGCTTCGTCCGGATTTCCCTCGAAAGCTTCCATTTCTTGGAAAGAAGAAAGTTTCAAGGGGTGATGGAGGTTTTAAAGGGGGAGAACTGTACGAAGGAAGTAACGAATTTCTATATTTTCAGTTCCAGCGTAACCGCTGTCCACGTAATGGCCGCGCAACTTTTGAGCAACGTCTCTCTCCTTGTCTACTTTTTATCTTTTTATACTTGCTTCTATCTGTCCAAACGAAAAGCAACCACCATAACTAACCAACCACTCATCTGAATTTCGAACTTTTTAAAAGATTGTCCGACCGTCAACGTCCCGATGTTATCGTTCTGACGAAAGGGAAAAAGAAAAAAAGTAAAGAAAAAATTAACGTGACGTAAAATGAGGCCTCTTTAGTTTGTTTTTTTAACAAACTTATCACATATCGTTTCTTTTTTCCTACCAAAAGAAAAGCCTAATAAATTTCGTTGGATTTTCAATTTGGAAAAAGGAAAATATATATTTTCTTTTATTTTTTTTCTCTTCGATAGCGATAGACGATTATTTTTCAGATTTTATTTTTAAACACAATTTTGACAATTACGAATCTCGTACTGGTTGAAATTTGATTAGATCTATAATAAAATGGAACATTTTCTTTTTTCTTTCTTTCTTTTCGGTAACTGGAAAGAATAAAAGCAATGTTATTTTTTTTTTCATAAATTCGACCGACAAAGTTTACCTCATGAAAAATAGAAGAAGAAGAAAAAGAAGAAAAAAGAAAGAAAATAGTCCCGAAAACGAACTAGAAAAAGATTTTAAAGATCACGACGACTGCCGGGGGTTCATGAATTTTTTACAAAGTCGTCGTCTATCTATTTAAAAGAGCAGAGCGCGAGCGCCCTTTCATTTCTGCACGTTTACCACTCTGAAATTTACTCTCGCTCGAATTTAAAAGTTTTTAAAAGATTGCCTCAGTAAACGTCCTTGCCTCTCGTACTTCCATTCGAGAAAAAAAGGGAATGGAAAATAGAAACTGTCAAGAGACGACGACGACGTTTCTCTAATGCTGCTGCTTCTGCTGTACCTTTTTTTCTTATCTTCAATTTAACCCTCGAAGACAATCGCATGGTCTACAAAGAACGAACTGACGTTCGTTTTTTTACAAACTGTTGTATATTACACAAA